TTGATGTTGTTACCTTGGATCCCCAGCAGGTGGTGATACCTCACCCCTCGAGTAGACCTTTATCTGCAGCTGCTGAAGACTGCAGCTCGGAGGTCACCCAGGAAGGGAGGGATCCGGCAACGGTATTTACAGTGGTGGCGGCCACCTCCCTGTACACAGGGGAAACTCCACAAGCCTGGCTCCGGGTGAAGGGTGTGGCACAGCAGTGGCAGTGGCAGTGGCAGCAGCAGCCATGGCAGTGACGATCTCAGTAGATCCTGCTTGTGGGGCCTCACGGTCCTAAGTCGTGGGTCACCTCAGGCATGGGCGGGCAATGAGCGCAGCGGCAGCATCCACAGCTACGGCGGTGGCCCAGACTGCCGTGATGTTTAAGCAGTGGTAGCGGCGGTGGCTGAGCTCCCCGTGAAGAGCAGGCTGCTGAGGATGGGAGCTGCAGCCCGTGGGAGAGAGCTAGGGTCTTTATGAATGTTCTCCTTCGCAGAGGGTCTCACAGACCATGCTGCCCTATTGCCATCTTGCGGAAGTCACCCAGGCTCTCTTTTTCATTTCTCATCTTGCCAACTTGACTTTCAAAATCAGAAAATAATTTATAAGCAACTTTGAACACATCTGACGATCAAAAGGCCTCAAGGACAACACTATTCCTTTCATGGCTGGATGTTAGGGAGTTCATTTTTTTCCTGCCTCCTTCCCTTCTAAAGTGGCTTGGTCAGCCCAACAGTAAGAAGAAGAAGTAAATTAGGGTTATTATTTTCCTAAGGAAGCCCCATCAGTGTGGTATCTGGTGGTCAAAGGCTGTGTAGTATGTAATGGGGAGATCTTTTGCTTCTCTTCTCCATTTTTACGTACTGAGAATGTGTTTAATCTCTATAAGAACGCTAGTATAAGGTAAGTGATGTTATTATCCTTGTTTTATTCAGAAAGGTAAATAACTTGCTTCAGCTAGTAAGTGGTGCTGCTGGCCTTCCAACCCACCCTACCTAGACCCAGGACCCATACTCTGAAATTACCTTCCTTAATGGAATCATTTATTTTTCAACTTATGGTCATTTTCCTCTCTTCCTGCTGGATGTACCAGGTCCCATTAATGGGCACTGACTCATTAGCCCAACAGATGTCCTCTTATTTAAGCATGTTGACCACCTTCTCATTAGAATCACAGCAGCGGATCCTTGTATCTTAGACTTTTCTGGTCCAGCTTGTCATTTTACAGATAGGAAATTGTGGCCCAGACATGGGGAATTACTGGCTTAAAGTCATTCTGCTCTTTGGTGACAGATCTGATAATAATAATGGTGGTAGTGATAATAATTAATGTGGATGAAGCTTTTTTTCATCATTTTCCTGATAACACTCTATTTTTTTCTAGATTATTATAAAAAATACAGCATATAACATACAAAGTATGTATTTTTTTATTATAAAGATGTAGGGCAGGTACCCTTGTTGATAAGGTATGCCCCTCCCTCCTGTAGCAGTTTCCCTCAACTGCCAGTCCCACCCTCCTCCCCTGACAGTTTCCCACTACTGCCAATCCCTTCCTCATAGTATTAAAATTGTTTAAGTTTCACTTATAAGTGAGAACATATGGTACTCTGTTCTTTGTTTCTGTGATAGATCATTGAGTATGATCAACTCTAAATCCATCCAAGTTGCTGCAAAGTCCATATGTTTGTCTTTCTTTATGGCCGCATAATATTCCATTGTGTATGTGTACCACATTTTATTTAACTAGTCCAGCTTCGATGGGCAACATGGTTGGTTCCAAGTTTTTGCTATTGTGAATAGAGTTGCAGCAAACATACGTGTGCAGGTATCTTTTTTGTACACATTGACATTGAGATATCACCTAACCCCAGTAAGAATGAAGCTCTTATTAACTACCGGTATCCATTCTAAGCACTTGATGTGTATAATCTGTTTTATTGAATCCTCCAAACAGATTTGTGAGAAATATTCTATCATTATTCATTTTACAGGTGAGAAAATATGAGATAAGTATAATAGACAAACAGAGCCTAAAAATTCTGAATCATCATGCTTACCTGGCAGGGGAGATACCATGATCATGAAGGTGGTTTTCCTAGAGTGAGGCTTATCCATTGCACTCTGGGTGTGCTGACCCTTGGGATTTCCCCAAATGTGGGAAAATTGACCGCATAATTTGTGGTAGTGGGGGACTGCATTTATGCTCTCCCCCCAACACGTACACACTTGTTTCTAAGTACCTCCCACATCCTTACTATTCTTGGTTCTTCCATTCTGCAATATCTTTAAAGGCATCAGACAAGGATGAAATGGGTTGCTACATATCTCTTCATTAAAAGCTTGGGTGAGAAAAGTTGTCTCCCTCCAATCAGATTCCTGAGCCATTAATCATCCTTAAGTTGTTTTTGGTCAGCTACATCCTCCATAGTTTTATATCCATTATCAGAAAGTTTTAATGACAGGTGTGACCCATTAAAGAAAAATTGTCCCAGGCAGATTTAAACAGGCTAGGTTGAACTCAACTGAGACAAAAGGCAGGACAGATTACATGCTGGGTTTAGCTAGCAGGAAAGTACTGAAGGACACTAGAGAGCTTGTGGGGTGATCAGTGTGATATCGTCGGTGTTAGTTCAATGTTGCTCAGAGAAGTCAGACTCTCAGAGATACTGAGAGATAGGGAGGGGCACTATCTTTTTTGATGTTTACATTTCAAAGGAATGGGTCTCAACCAGGTCCTTGAGAAAGATGTTCCTTCGTTGTAGAAAATTCACGTCTCAAAGGATGAAGAAATAATTTGGAGTTGCAAGTTTTCCAGAGTAAATGCTTCAAGAAAAGGGTTTATAATCAGAAGGAAACCTGTTTAAAGTTTAATCAAACTGAGGGGAAGCCTTGTCACACTCAGAGTGAAGAAAGCACTACATCTGGGATGTTGACAGAAGAAGGCTTGCCCACCCAAAGACACAGGGTAGACAAGAACAAAGAAAATCTAATTTGCCTTGTTTCTTCTAATTTGCTCTGGACCTCAGATTTACTTATACATTTTAAAAAATGTAAATGTGTAGAATTCATCTCTCTAACACCTGCCAAAAGTATCTATTACTGGTGTTTACCCTTTTCATTCTTCCCACACGCATCCTCTAGTTCTTGAATAAACTTAAGTTAACACTACTGTGCCATTCTCCCTCCTTGACATGCTAATAATTACAGAGGGAGCTGCACCATTTTCTCACTCATGTCCTTTCACTGACATAAATATCTTCCCTGGTAGATGAAGTCTCTGTAGTGTGGTAAGAGGTGCAGAGAAATTGGAAATGTCGTAAACTTGTATCTTCAGAGCAAAAAGTGAGGACTGAGTGGGTGAAACTTTGGTGCCACTATTTATCACACAATTAATGTGCATTTCATTATTCTCCATCAAAACTGAATGGGTAGTGTTTACAAAGGTGATTAGTGACTCCTAAGATAGATAAGCTTTGAAAAATACATATTTGAAGTAGGATAACTGCTATGAATACACGCCTTATAGTGTAAGAGTTTTCAAAGCATATAGTCGGTAACTCTTTAGCATTGTTAGGAAATGCACAAGTAGGTTTTTCTGCTTCCTGAATAGATAAGGGTAATCCCTGATGTTGCTTAGCTCCTACTGAAACACAAGCACCTGCTTAAAACAGGATATGCTTATTGAATAAGTAAATACATGAATCACAGAGAGCCCTCACTGTAATTTAAGCATTTACTTATTCAACAAACATGTATTCTTTAAATGACTCATACACGGTAATTGAAAACCTACCATGTGCTAGGCATGGCACCAAGGGCCAGAAACGCAGAGCCCTCCTTCTCACTGAGCTCATATTCCAGTTTGAAAGACATGCGATAACAACAAAATAATTGAAACAGCAATAAGTGTGGCAGAGACAGATAGGGTCCGGTGATGAGTGACATGTGGGGAGTGGAAGGGAGACCACTTAAGGATGGGTAGGTGGAAAGGCCTCTCTGAAAAAAGTGTAGTGTCGACAGGGAGCCGAGCTTCACAGACACTTCACAAACCTCCAACTATGTATAGATTAGTCGATCAAGACCCCCATACGGTGCTCTGCAACCCATCACCAGGCTAGGGCCAAGACAGCCAATGACATAGTGTGGCAGTAATACTAAGCCTGCCCCATTCCTGGGACACAGGGGATTCCTCTGCCAGCCAACGTTGGCTCGGAAACTCCTGAACAGTCTTGCTGAATCTTCCTCAGACTGCAGAGCAGTCACCCAGCCCTCCTTCCTTCTCTTTCACTGTCCTCTGTCGTATAACGCACAGTCCTATATAGACTGAAGGTTCTGCGTGCCTTCTCTGATGGCCTTCCCAAATTTTCTCCCAGATGATTTCCCTCATGCAATCCTTGCTTGTGTGATTACCATCCAACTTCCTGGAAAATGCAGACTAACTCAGGGGTGACAGAGACAGCTAAGAAAATCCTTGAATAATACAAAATCCCATTAAGTAAAACTCCTGTGCAAACAAAAGATAGCAATAGAATGACTACATTAATGATTATAATTTTTAATGAGTATCATATCATTAATATAATATTAATAAATAATTATTAAGTATCATAATTATTTTACAATCCTATATTAATAATAATAAAAGTATGTGTAAAAAGCAGTGGTGCCATAAAAAAGACAATTAAAATGTCATGAGGGAGGGGAGTCAATAAGGGAGTGCTAGAGCTTGGATACTCTGAGCATAGGCATTGTGGAGAATGGCACATTCTAGGCAGAGGAACACCGTGTGTAATAGGCAAAGGCTGCAGAAGCAATCATGGACCAGAGTTAGGACTTATGCTTAGAAAATAAGGAACAGGTTAAATAACAGGGGCGGAATAATGAATTTGCCTTCTGAGGACTGTGAAGGAAAAGGACCTTCTATTAGGGCTTTGCAAAAAAATATAAAGTTTAACATACTTCTTAATGGAACTATTTGACTTAGAGTAATCCACCTACTATTGTTTCCCCAGAGGAATTCCAGTCTCTTCGCTTGTCATTTTCCCCAAACCTGGATGACTACAATCCAGACATCCCTGAGTGGAGGAGGGACATCAGCCGAGTCATCAAAAAGTCCCTGGTGGAAGTGAGTACAAACAATTCCCTCTCTTGCCTGGGTACATTTCTGCTCTGTCCTTGAAGAATTTTATGAAGAAGGAACCCTTGCACAAAGAAATGACAGGAAGGAGTTGGAGCCCATGGGAAGATCAGTTAATCACTCTGATAGCTACACAGCTGAGCCCTTCATGTGCAGACATGCTGTATGCACTATGGGAAATACAACCAAAGACAAGCATTGGGTCACTGCCTTCTGTGAAGCTTATTCTGCCTAGAGAAGGACATGAACACTTGTTACAGTACATAGCAGAGTTCATGATCAGGGATCGTAAAACCAGCTATGTGCATAATTGTGAAGGGTCACAGCATGTAAGTGTCCTCAAGGGTGAGTACAACCAGTTAAGAGTGGACTGGGTTCCAGCTACATAACTCTGAGCATAAGAATAGAGAAGGCATTCAGGACAAAATGGTTAGTCATTATTTGTGTGTCCCCATTCTCTTAAAGACATTTCCCTCCTATTACAGCCCCAAGAAGGAATTATTATCCTCATTTGTAGATATGGCAGCTGAAATTCTAAACTCTCACAGCTAATAGGTGATGAAGCTACAAAATTGAAGTGAAAGGCCTGAGTTCAACGTCTGAGTTTTTGCAACACAACCTTCAATGCTTTCTGGGAGAATACTAAGGGGGATAGTTTATTCCTCTCTGGGCACATGTCACTGACAGTTGGAGAAGACACTTTCTTTTAAGCACATCTCCCCCTGCCCATTCTACTTTCATGAGTGAACAGGGGAGTGGGATAGTCACTCATGGAGCTGCTTGAACTTGTTGCACAAATGTAGAAAGTAAAACTGAGTTACCTTTTCCTGTGGTATCTTCTCAGCCCAAAGAGAAAGATAGTTTGGTTTTTCGGTACAATTTTTCCTGCTTCCAACATATGGCATCATATGACACAAAAAGATGATGGGTTGAGGGCATTCAGATAACCACTATTTAGAAAAAAAGATCTAACAGCTTTCAGCAAAGATCTGGTCTTCTTCACACCATTACCCTTGTTGATATTTATTTAGCACATACAATATTCCAGGTACTCTTTTCAGTGCTTTGCTTTATTTAATGTATTTTATCCCTCCAATATGCTTATGATGCTGGAACTGTGATTATTGTCATTTTACTGAACATAGAAACATTAGCTAACTTGCCCAACATGCAGTTAAAAATCATGTTCTGGAGTCAGATCATTAAGGTTTGCATCTTAATTTTGTGGTTTTCTGCCTACTTTCTTGCCATCCTTTGCTGCATTACAAAAAGAAATGGATGGATGAACTATTGGCATGAGGAGGGGTTATCTTCATGTGCCTCTGATTAAATGCCACCTTACTTCTGTGTCTTCATGGCTCTCAGCATCCATGACATTATTGGTAGTGATTTATCAAACAGGCGTTAGCTCAACAATGACCAACCCTTCCAGTCTGATTTCTCTTCCTACTTACTGTCTAGAGATCAGATGCTCTGGGCCTCCACCTTTCTTCCAGCTGTCCAGTAGGCTAAAAACTACTGCTCATCAACATTGCTAAGCTGCTACATAGCATAATCAGGTCCACTCAGAGTAAACAGGCTGCAACAGCATCCCTCAGGGCAGGTTTGTAGCAGTGGTGATTGTGGGGTTAATACTTTCTGGTTTCCAAGGCTCCCTAGTTACCCAATCTCAAGAGGCAAGCTTGGTTTCCAGCGTTTAACACTGTCTTTGAGATCAGTAATTACACTCGGACACTTTCTTAAACCACACTGCCAAGTGTTTTCTAATGAACCCTACCTAGGGTGCAACTTAGAGTCAGCTTATTTGCTGTTTTCTTCCTATTAATTATGAGTCAGAATTTGGTATGAAATTGGTTGCTTTTTCCTCATCAAATGGCTTTTGCTATTGACATTTCACCATGAAACCATTAACTGAAAGTTATTCACTAAACATTTGTGGGTATAATGAAGATTATAATCTCTGAGTTTACAGTTTAGTAGGGGCATATTGTAGTATGGAGTAACAGAAGCTGGTATGTGTAAGTATTGGGAGCAGGGAGGCAGAGAGCACTGGTTGGCAGCACAGGCTTCACAGTCATGCCAGGCCTTATAAACATCACCCGTCACTTCCTAGATGTTCTTGAGTCCCTGTTTAACCTCCCTACAGCTACCATTCCTGGGGTGGAAATAGAGATGGACTGCCCAGATCTCTGTCCAGGGAAAGATTTGTTGTCTTAGCAACAAGGGGTGTTATGGGCAGCAGTTTCAACTGCTTTGTTCCAGGTCATATCTCTTCCCAGGGTAGCTCATGTCTGATGATGGACTGTGTTAGTCAGATAAAATTCTGGCCATGTCAGCCCAATTTAAGGCAACTCCTAAAGGAGTTGTCTTCTCATAGGATCTCTTGAGGCTATCACTGGACCAATTTCTCCCCTGCCCATGTTTACTTCCTTCCCTTCACTCCCATAGGTACTGTTTCCAAGAGCGCTTCTTGAAAAAGAAATATTTTAGAATTATGAGGTACATGTGGGGAATTTTTACATAAGTAAATTGCATGCAGGTGAGGGTGGGGCTTCTAGCAAGCCCTGTTTCCCCCAGTAGTGGAATTGGTACCGAATGGGTGGTTGTGGGCTTTTTATCCCTCCTCCCTCCTTCCTTTCTTTAGTAGTGCCCATCATTTGTTGTTCCTGCCTTTGTGCCCACATGCCCAATGTTTAAGTCCCACTTATGAGTAAGAAAATGTGGTATTCGGTTTTTCTGTCTCTGTGATAGTTCACTTTGAATGATTGTCTCCAGCTGCATCCATGTTACTGCAAAGGACATAATTTTGTTCTTCTTTATGGCTGTATAGTATTCCATCGTGTATATGTACAACCTTTTCTTTATCCAGTCCACTTTCAATGGACATCTGGGTTGCTTTCATATTTGTGCTACTGTGAATAGTGCTGTAATGAATATATGTGCAGGTGTCTTTTTCATAAAGTTATTTACGTTTCTCTGAGTATATTCCCAGAAATAGGATTTTTGGATTATATGGTAGATCAGTTTTTTAGTTCTTTGAGAAAATTTCTCACTGCTTTCCACAAAGATTGAACTAGCTTACATTCCCACTAATGGTGTAGAAGCAGTCCCTTTTCTCTGCACCCTCACCAACACCTGTAGTTTTTTTTAAAAAAAAACTTTTTAATGATAGCCATCCTGACTGGTGTGAGGTAATATCTCACTGTAGTTTTGATTTGCATTTCTCTGAGGATTAATGAAACTGAATATGTTTTCCGATATTTTTTGGTCATTTGGATGTCTTCCTTTGAGAAGTGTCTGTTCATGTCTTTTGTCTGCTTTTTAATAGGGTTATTATTTTTTTCTCCTGGCAATTTGAGTTCCTTGTAGACCTTGGATGTTAGACCTTTGTTAGATGCATAGCTTGCAAATATTTTTTCACATTCCGTGGGTTGTCTCTTTACTCTGACAGGTTTTTTGCTATGCAAAATCTTTTTAACTTGATAAAAAACTGTCAATTTTAGATTAACAGCATTTGCTTTTGAGGACTTGACCATGAATTTATTGCCCAGGCTGATGTCCAGGAGGGTGTTCCTAAATTTTTCTTTAAGATTCTTATAATTATAACCCCACAATCTCCCTACTGGGAATATATCTGGAAGAATTCAAATGACTCTATAAAAAAGATACCTGCACACATATGTTTATCTCAGCATTGTTCGCAAAAGCAAGAACATGGAACCAACCGTGTTGCCCATCAAAAGAGGACTGGATTAAAAAAATGTGGTACATATACCCAATAGAGTATTACACAGTCATAAAGAAAAACAAAATCATGAACTTCGCAGCAACCTGGATGGAATTAGAGTCTATAATCCTGAGTAATCTCTCACAGAAACAAAGAGCTGAGCTTCACATGTTCTCACTCATAAGTGGACCTTGAACAACTACCATATTACTATAAGAAGATGATTGACAGTAGCGGGAAACTGCGGGGGAGGGGGAGGGTGGAGGTGGGATTAACAGTAGTTGATACCTGCTTGGGGAAGGGGGGCACACCTCATCAATAAAGGTACCTGCACAATGAATATTTGTATACCTAACCCCGAATTGTACCCCACAATTTTAAAATAAAAATTAAAAGAGGAAAAAAAAGTGTTGTCAACCAAAAAAAAAAAAAAAAAAGGATTGAGGATCCATATTTAAGTTCTTGATCCATTTTGAGATAGTTTTTGTACATGGTGCTAGGTAGGGGTAGAGTTTCACACTTCTGCATATGGTTATACAGTTTTCCCAGCACAATTTGCTAGATATGGTTTTCTTTCTCCAATGTTTGTTTTTGTCAACTTTGTTGAGGATGAGTTGGTTAAAGGTTCATAGTTAAATTTCTGGATTTTCTGTCCTGTTCCATTGGGCTATGTGCCTAATTTGTATCAGTACCATGCCAGAGCACTCCTTAATAAACATTCTACATAGTAAACTCAAGTCAGTTTCCTGAGAACCCCGGTCCTTGGTTCAAAGGGTTGTTGTTGGGGGAGTGGGACATTGCATAAAATATTTAAGCTACTTAGCACAATGTGAGGCGCTCTGTAAGAATTCAATACGTGACCTTTTTTTTTTTGCTACCTTGATAAAAGATACTAACATGAGTTCGGAAACAATCAACTAGTTGGAAAGTAATGAAAAACGTACTAAAATAAGTAGACTTTAAGATGACTCATGAAGAAAAAGTAGGATTTTGCCGTCTCGGTGGCTCAACCTGTAATCCCGCGCCTTGGGAGGCTGAGGTGAGTGGATTGACTGAGCCCGCGGGCTCGAGACCCACCTGGGCAACTTGGTGAGAGCTCATCTCTACAACAAATCAAATAGCTGGGTGTGGTAGCATGTGCCTGTAGTTCCAGCTACTTGGAAGGCTAAGGTGGAAGGATCACCGGAGCCCCAGCAGGTCGAGGCTGCGGTGGCCGGGAGCAGCTACTGCACTCCAGTCTGGGTGACAGAGTGAGACTACAACTCAAAAAAAAGAAAAAGTAGGGTTTTAGTAGCAAATATAGAGAAAAGACATTCTGGAAAAGATGACATATACAAAAATTTTTACAGGAAAAGGATGAAATAATGATATCATACATCACTGCATTTGGCTAGAGTATAGGAGACCTGTGAGTTGTGTGTTTGGAAAGGAGATGTGAAGCTATATTGCAGAAGGCCTTGACTATGTCCTATTACCACTGGGAGTTATTGCAAGCATTTTGAACAGAAGAACATAATCTGAGTTGGACTGTTGGAGAGAAAAGCTGGGATTGTAATGACCTAAAGAGGGGTCTCAAGGAGAAATCATGGGATATAAGCTCAAGAGAGAACAGATGAGCTAAGACAAAAAGGAAATCCCTGAAGGATATCTATAATTTTAACAGAAGAGTTGGCATGGCAAAGAGAAGGGCTCAGAGTACTTCAGGAAGCAGGGCTGGCCATCAGGCCTGATGCTACAAAGATGTCAACAGGCACCTCCTAAGCATCATGCTATGGAAGAGTCTTGTTAGGTTTAAGTGATTAGGGTGTGACTGGTCTACTTGAAGAGTAACTCCAGTGGGGCAACAAAGGAATGTCAGGTTAGAAAGGACTAAGGCATGAGGGGCAGGTGATAAAGATAGTGTGATCATAAAGATGCCCTCTAGAAGAAGAGCTAACATTTGAATCCCTAAGCACTGCTATAAATGCTTCATGTGTAACTAATTTAATTTGCAAAATCACAATTAACATGGCAGGAATGACTACTATTCAAAACACTGTAGGCAAAGAGAAGGTAAGCAGTGTTCTTAATGTTACACAGTGTTGGAGCTGGAATTAAATTACAGTTTGACTCCAGCATCTGCAATTGTAGTTAAGAGTTGCTTCTCACGTACTTTCCTGACTGATGCACCCAGGACCCTGCTTTAGGGTGCTGCCATCCATCGCATCTACCTTTCACCCTCTGCCAAATACCTAGTCTCTTCTCATCATTCTTTTCTGCAGTGTTTACACGTGCCTCTGTGTTTCTTCCTCAGGCCACAGGGATTCCAGGCCAGCACATCTTGGTGGCAGTGCTCCCTGGCTTACCCACCACTGCTGAGCTCTTTGTCTTACCTTATCAGGATCCAATGGGAGAAAACAGAAGGTCAGCCAGTGATCTGAAGCAGGTGAGTCCTCAGGGGACATTTTCAGTTTCTGTCTGAAGTCTGAGCCACATCCACTGCTAGTCTGAACACCACAACATCAGCTCTGCGGAGACTCTAGGGATTCCTGGCTTAAGAGTGAGGATGCCAACTGTTTGTGGAGTCTTCAATTTTCTGGTCCTCCATTTCTTATCCTAAAGCTGGTGATTCTAACTATAGCATCACCAAAAACACATACAAGAGTATTTATTGAAGGGAATGGCAAAAGTATGCACACTGTGGAATACTCTACCATGTTGAAAATGAATTAGATGCATCTGTGTATACCAACATAAAAATCTGCCAGTGATATTAAGTGAAAAAAGCAAGTAGCTAAACCATAATAGATGATGAACCCATTTATATCTTACCACAAGAGTGGTATAAGAATGGAATGGCATGATATGCATATCTTTTTTAAAAGATACAACTTTTATACATGTTGTTAATACTCTAATGATCTAATTTATGTCTATAATAAATGGGTAATATTGACTTCAGAGTACCAGTCTGGTTATGTGGGGTTCACTTTCTCCACATCTCCAACATCTTCGGGAGCATTAACGTCTCTCTTTCTCTCTCCTCTCTCTCTGCATGTGTGTGTGTGTGTGTGTGTGTGTGTGTGTGTGTGTGTGTGTGTGTGTGTATCTTCCTTTTGCTCTCATTGTTTTTTATTTTTCTTCCCTTTACTCCTTTTAACTTCAAAACAATCTTTCCTCTCTGTAGGGTGGATTATTATGTTGTTGTTCTTACTCATCCATTCAGTTGAAATGATCCGTCTTGGTCTAGTTGTTCTTCTAGCAACAGAATAATTTTGCTTTCTCAGTTGTTTCAGGTGGATAGATTAACCCTCTGCTCTCAGAGACTTCTCTTGGATCACCTACCGGCAATGCTACCACACTTTTTACAGAATAGTGAAAAATGAATCACTTCAATTAAATATTATAGCATTGGAACCCATTATTTTATTGTAGTAATATTTGGCTTAATATGAAAGTTTGGACATCGAGGACATCGAGTTATGCAATATGATACAAAGGATATATCCACAACTGCCTTTCTTATACAAATACTCTTTATCTCTATCTTCTGTTACAAAGAAGTATCAGTACCACTGTGGAAGCACTTCACACATTCTCTTTTTATGTAACACCAGCTGATTTTTTAAACTTATATCTAAGTATATATTCCATCTCTTTATTTGCTTTTTCATGAACTTTGAATTGAAAACTTCAAGAAAACATACCTTTTTTGAAAAATTTGTGTTTGCATAAGTTTGTCCTGTGTATTCACCTGCAATCTCTTTACGTCCTCTGAGATGGGACATCCCAGTGACTTGCTAGATTTATGATGTCCTTTCAGAGAGAACATCCAAGTATAAAGGGCTGCAAATAAGATTCTTCACAGCTACTAAATAAATATTGACTGTTCCCCCTCCAGTACTTAGAGACTTTCTATTTACTTTTGAATAAATTCATCTAGCCCATGATCTCTAGTCTTCCAAGATGACTTGAGAACCTTTTGTAACCACCTTATTAACAACAAAACCAAATTATGGAATGGCCCACTTCCCAGCACACACCCTCCTTTCAAATGCTTCCTTCTCACTTGGCAGAAGACTCACATTTGTAATTTTCTCTCTGTGAAAATAATGAAGAGAGCTATCACAGAAAGCCTATTGAACCCAATTTCCTAGTGAAGTGAAGTTGAAGGCCAGGCAGCAGGTAACTCTTCAGATTTGCATCTGACTTTCCCACTACCACCCAGATGTCCACCATATTCTACAAATTATTATCAGCACTGTGATATGATGGGAGGAAAAAATTGATTTTTTAAAAAATCACAGCACTGCTGAGAACCCAGAGGGAAAGTAGATTTATATCCAAGATCTTTAAGTATGAACATTTGCAATTGTTCCTCCTTTGAAATCTCATTGGTTTTACATGAAATCCAGATTATAATCCTTTCAATTATGGAAGAGGGTACAGATTTAGAGCCTGGTTTTTTTTGGGGGGGAGGTTAGTAAGAGTGCACATCGTCTGTGCATTTTTATTTCTTACACTTTCCATTTTTTTCCTAAAAGTGTAATATTTCCTACATGATTCTTTGAGGGAAATTTAGAAAGTAGAAGGGTCTATTTTGTGGAACTTCTTATACTTATGTATGGATGTACCTTGCTTTGACTGTTTTCTCCAGACTTCTTGTTTCCCTTCATTGTCAGTTCTTTCTGGATGCTTCCTTTAAAGGCATTCTCAGATAACTGGGTGATGGTCCTTCTGGCACCCATTATCAGTTACTGATGAATCATTTAATCAGACATCTGAAAGCAGCTGGATTTTCTGAAGACCATGTGACTTAGCACACATGTAAGAAGTCTAACCATTTTGGTAGAAGGAACTCAGGTTTAGATAAATATAAACCAGGTTTCTGGTTTCAGCTCTGATACTTTTTTTTGCCTATTTCATAAATGAGGAAGATAAGGAAAATTAAATAATGTAGTCAGGGTCACACCCATCTCATGGGGTGTTTTTCTGAGAAGATTAAACAAATAATATAGAAAAGTACTTGCTCTAGAGTACATGCTTAATGATGGTAAGTAGATAGTGGTTACATTTATCCTCATTGTATAATAAGAAGAAGTGTAGTAAAAGAAAAAAATGTTTAGGCCTAGTAGACTGTTTAGTATAGTCAAAGACATATATTAGAAGAGAGGATGTCGGGAGTAGGGAAAAAAGAATAAGGAATGGAATGATATAAAATGAAGAAAAAACAAGGATAAGAAGAAAAAGAAAGAATGTATATGAATGACATGAGCTCATGTAACTTTTGCAAATTTAAGGTACCAAACTAGAGATTATAACTATCTAAGGAAATTGTTGCTGCGTCAGCCTATTAAAGAACACGTCAGTAAACACAGTGACCACACAGATGCCAAACAAAGCACATTAGAAAGTCGTATCTTAGTTGTGGAGAACATTATTACCCTGATGGGAAAGTGGAGTAATGAAGTGAAATTATAAAACCAAGGCATGTGTCCAGACCCCATTAAACAGGATTGCCTCCTGGAAACCTGTAGTTTTTAATCTAAAAGGGGCATTTTTATTCTTTGTTCTGACTCAGTTACTCAAACAACTGTATGGGAAAAAACTGAATTTATGTACTCATTTAACTGAGAAGTCCAGAGATACAGTTCAGGCATGAATGAATTCAGAGCCACTCAAAAACGCTACCAAATTACTTCCTTTTTCTCTCCATCTGTTTTCCTTGCTACCATATGGGAAGTTGGCCTGAGAATGAAGCCGGCACATAGGAAAGCAAAGATGGCCACAGGAGCCCCCAACTTCTATTTAGCCAGTTTATTAACCACATCCAAAAGACAATGCCCCAGGTCTGATAACACAGACCAGCAAGAGCCCCAGCTTCACAGTTTTCACTGGTCTGACCTGGATGAAGTGGGCATCTCTTAACCAGTTGCTGCAGTCATGAGGACAGAGTGCTGTTAGTGAAAATTCAGGCATTTTATACCCTTCCTGAACCCAGTGGATTAAGAGTAGAGAAGGACATTATTCCTCAAATAAAAATGTGGGAAAGGGAGAAAAAAGACTAGACAGATAAAGGTAACTGACTTCCATTGTAGCACATTACACAAACATTTAAGACAAACGCAAAACCAAACGACAGCAATGAACTTCCTCCTTTGTAGACTGCATTCTGAATCTTAGCTGAAACTTGGAAAGGGTTGTCCTTATCCCCTGACTTTATGTATTGGCCCCTTTCTTGTAAAAATACAGTACAGAACACCCAGCAAGGGAAGAACTGGGATCCTGGCCAGATGGGCCCTAAAGAATAGGAATGCCAGGTCTTAGCAGATGGCTCTTAGCGCTGCTTCCTTAGCTTCCTCTCTGAGCATTCCCAGGGAGCAGGGATGCTGGCTTGAATTGAGCTATCTTGTCTGTTTAATAAATTGAAAATTCTTCACAGTGAGAAGTACTTGACCCTGCTATCAGGATGATGTGGGTTGGGTTAATCAAGTGACCTCTGTCTGGGAGGGTTCCACCAGTCTTTATTTAAGATCGCTGGTGAGTGAAAAAAGGCTCTCTTGCCCTTAGCTGGCCTCATCAGGGGCAGCACATCCTGCTATCCTCAAGCCAGCTGCTCTGGTATGGAGCTAACTCTGCTCTTCAAGTATTCTATTCCTCTGCTTTTCTCTGAGTCCTCAGGGGTGAGCAGATTTGTATCTGACTCTCCTGGAGGGAGGAAAGACCACTATGCTCTGCTGAGATTGCTTGTGATGCTGCACTGGGGAGATAAGGAATCTGCATGTGTTGTCTTTCAGGATCCTTAAAGGGCATTAGATTATTTAAAAGAAAGACTGGAAAAAATGCTAACTACACACAATATATTTCTTCCTTGGCTGTTTGTATTACCGTACACATTTGACAGATGCAGAACCCAAAACCCATGGGAAAATGGATAGGCAGATCTGAAAATAGAACAGTCTACTGGCAGCATTTTAAGAACTAGGAGATTCATTGTGAAATGTAATTAATAATCTAAGACAATTTTCTGTATACCCACACAGTCTGCCTGTCAGTCCAGATTTCTTAATGTGGGGAATTGAATTACAAAATGCTCTAGAGTTTACAAGGAAGGTCTTAGAAATGGGAAAACTATAACTGAATGTATAGTAGGTGAGAGTTGAATCAAAAAAACATGGCAGAAGGGGGCAGAGATAAGTTTAAAGCAGGTGGTGGGAAATCCAAGGGAAAGAAGTATTTATGGCCAATTTGTTTCTTCATGATCATCATCCAGGAAAGAATGAAACTGAGTGAGCTAGTGTTAACTAGAACATAGAATTTGACTCTACTGCTTACCCATGATTCAATCTGGAAATTATGTTGTATGAGTTAGGAAAGATCTTCCCCTGTTGAATAAAATGGAATATTCCTCAACTGCTATTTGAAGAGACCTTAATAATGTGACAGGATCAGGACTGACCACCTGAATCAGCTCTAATGTCATCTCAGGCAAGGCTCTCTCTGAACATGGCACCAGAATGCTATTTATGTTCAGTAGGATTTTTATTTCTCCTGCCAACTTTGTGATAAGCATTAATATTTTGGCTCAGGGTAGCTTTGTCACTAATAAATTTCCCAAAGACCATTTTGAATCTATATTTTACCTTATACCAGTTCTTTGGATTATGTGTTTTATTAATTCACAGACTCTACTATCCTTAAACTCCTCCATTTTGTGTTTCAAGAATTGCCACTTTTATTCTAATAATCTGAGAGTATGTTTCCCATCTTGATTTCTTTAAAAATTGTTTAGATGCTGAATGAATTCTTTGTCTGGTATACATCATGGTTGTTGACTAAATTTGTCCAGCCCACTGCCTTCTGAGTTCATGATAGGGTTGTATCCATGAGTCTTTTCTGGTTGGACAGAGCCATTGGACTTATTCAGGCAAATGGGTTGGCAGCAGAAGTGATGTGTGTCATTTCCAAGCTAAAGTATCCAAATGCTAGTTGTAGAACCTAGAGAGCTCCTTTTCCCTCCTGTGCTGCATGTAGTGAATGGAAGTGCTTAAAGTGGCTTCTCCAGCAGCCTGTATCCCTGTGTGACCTCATGACCTGAACACCACTTCCGTATTGCAGTGGATATGATGCGTGAGCAGGAAATATACCTTGTTGATTCAAGACCCTGAGAATTTAACATTGTTACCACAGCCTCACCTAGTTGATTCTGACTCCTGCATTTAATCTTCGTCATTTGTGAAGAAGACTACGAGGAGAATCCCTGTTTTCCTTGTAGCAGGTCCCTTGTAGCAGGTTCCCTTACCTCTTAGGAAACATTAGCTTTTTTAATGTTTGTACTGAGTCCCCACTGCCCTTTTAAGTGGTAATTTAAATGAAATGTAGGTTGCGTTTGAATCATAGGCATATTCCACTAAATAGGCAGATACTAAGAATAACATGTTTTTTTGGTCGTGATTGTTTAGCTGAAGTAGAAAAGAAAACAGACTGTGCATGAGAGCAGCAGAAGAGGGATGATTGTATAAAGAATAAATGAAATTTGTTAAGACAACACATCTTTCACCAGACAGAAAAAGAAATAAATTCAGTTTGCCTCAGCAGGTTTAGTCTCCTAGCAATCACACATTATTTCACTTGAGTCTTTATCTAACAAGTATTTATTTTTCTCATTAAGGCTATTGTTATACTTTTCAGTAGATTGCAATTTATTCTGTCTTTTCTAGCTAGCGACTCTCTCAAACATTACCAATTATATTAATTAGTAAACAGAACGTGGCCATCCTGATGGTGGTGTTAGGAATTGCTTATTACTGTGGTCCATGTTGGCCATTGGACATTGGAACTGATATTTTAACTTGTGTGCTTTGCAGATGAATGAGGGGTGGCAACACGATTTATGAATGATACATGTTTTCATTTCCTAAACCCACTCTGCCAGACCACTCTTCAAATAATCTTCTTCCATCTCTTTGTCAACCATCTCAAGAAAAATATTTTTAATGGAAATACCCTAGGATTAGGAGTCAAACAAAAGCTGAAGTCTAGTCTCAACTCTTCAAATATTAACTGGGTAAACTTTGGTATTTCACTTAAGCTCCGCACTACATTCCGTGAAGATACCAGCATTAAAACCTAAGATATGTTATATTTTAAAAATAATAAATAAATAGGGGAGGGTGGGGGAGTAGTGGGAAACTGCCCGGGGAGGGAGGGGCACTCCGCATCAACAAGGGTACCTACATAATGAACATTTGTACCCTACATATTTAAAATTTAAAAAATAAACATCTTTACCAAAATAGTATTCAGTGCATATATAATATACTTTCAAATATATGTAACAACTCATTATCTGATGAAAACAACACAGGATAAACACTTGTGCATGTGGCATGGAAAACATTTTACATATTGTCAAAATCTGTCAACAGTTTCATACTCATTTATTTGAGTGGAAAAACACATGATTCTGAATTGAGATTATTTTTGTATGCAATGTACATTTCATTTAGTTGTGTTTCTTATGCATAATTTTTTCACAAAGCATATGTTCATTGTTGAGTGTCCTTTGATGCAAGCTAAAAAATGGAACATGATTTCTGTTAACAGATTATTTTTTAATTTCTTGCTTCACTTTGTAAATGATACAGATAGAGCCAACGAAGCAATATTATAAACCAAAACAAATCTAGGAAGTTAATTATTTTCACTAGGGACTCTCCTAAAGATTATAAATTAGAAGTATGATGTTCTGATGAACTCTAATTTCTGGTTTGGTTATTTATATCTTCACTTGAAGAAAAGCATTCTCGTGGATAGGAAATAAATGGCACTTTACTTGGTTGAAAGTGGAAAGCCTTTCTTTTGTAATTGCATAGTTTTCTTTGGTCTGTGTCCTAGATTCTGCAAAACAGGCCAATTCTTTGTTTATGGCAAGTCTTTTATATTTGAATGAAAATATTTTTTCTGCAGTTCTATATATGTGAGTGCATGTGTGCATATGTATTTCATAGGCAAAACTTCTGTGAAAGACCTTTAAATAATCCACAGTTAGATTTCTATAAAGACTGTACCCATTGAATTATAAGAATTAAATGAAAAAAAAAACTCGTTAGATAACACAGAGGAAAACTATTCTAAGCAGTCTGTGTTAGAAATCCACTTCTATAAACCTGGACCACTCTGTAGGATTCCCAGTGTCCAAGAAAAGGAGTAGCCTAATATACCAAATAAAGTTGTTTTCAACATGAGTTTAGCACAATCCTGTTATTCTGCATTATTTGCCAAATGACAGCACTTGAGAGCACTGGATCCTAGGTGCTAAACTGTGAGACACTGACCATGATTTCGTGTTTCTATTTTTCAGCAAAGAAGTTTATCTGCAGGGCAGTTCAGTTCCCTTACCAATCAGGAGCTTCTTCAAGGGACTCTGTGCTTCAAAACTAAGCCATCAGGTCATGCTTAATAAAGAGATCAAAAGTGTCATTTTTGGCAGGCAACACAGTGGAGTAAATGAAACTCAACAAATAGAAAAGAAAAAATAAATACGAATTTAACTAGCAAGATAATGGTCAGAAAGCGTCTAATTAAACTTAACATGTTAAATAAAAGACTAATTGGTAATTAGAATATTAAAAATAAACCTTGGAGACCAGATAAAAATAATAGGAGTATAGTTATCCCTGATAGCTTTTCAGAAATTCCTCAAACGTATAAGGAAAACAGTACATTGAGCTAGGTTTTCTAGTTTAAACAGATGAACAGAGTTTATTTCATCTATAAAACCTTACCTTCTGCTGTTTATACCCACGTGAGTTATTTGCCCCATGCTTGGGGTTAAATGTTCTTTAGTTCGGAATTCCATTTATCTTTCTAGCACACAAGTGTAAGTCTGAGGAACAGTTTAGATAATATTCATTGACATGAAATAAAGATTAGCCAATTCATTACTTAAGTGTAGTTGTATCTACACTCTCTTCCAATTATATATTATTTTTGTAGGACTATATTTACTAGTTAATAAATAGTCACAAAGTACCTATTCTATCTCTCTCTGAAAGCCACAGGATATGCTTTGGGGAAGGGATATAAAGTAAAATAAATGTATGTGAATCTCACCAGAATGCACAAAATGTGTATATCTACTTCTTTTAAGTCCTTATGCATAACAAATGCTTTCTCAAAAAACTGGGGGTGAGTTTTCTAAGACAATACAGAAAAAAATTTTAATAGTGAAATTACTTAATTTATGAATAAATATTGAGGCCATGCTTAAAATAATTATATCCGCATATTCTGGAATAAAAAAATCAAAATCATGTAATTCACAGGTACAATATTGTAATGCCTTGCCTAAAAAGTAAATATTTCTCAGCACTTTTGGTTATAATCAGTATGACAATTTTGTTGGCACTAACTATGACACTTCTTTTTTCAGATGTCAGAATTACTGATCCACAATCTCAACCAAAACTCAGTACACTTTGAACTGAAGCCAGGGGTCCAAGTCTTCGTCCATGCAGCTCACTTAACAGCAGGTAGTGTCCACGTCCCTGTGTTCTGGCTAATGATTCTGGTGAAGAATATTCCAGTCTGTGGTTCCTTCATCATAACAAGGCTAGGTGGTGTCATTGCTAATCAGAAATCCGGCATCAGATCTTGGATGTTCCGTTGCTTGGTGTTTCAGCCTTAATGGAGAATCAGAATAAGTTGATGCTTCTACTTAGACTCTGGTAAAAACTGTTGATGAACCACTTAGATAGCATCTCTTCACGTGATACATGCTTCATCTCAACAGAAATCTTGAAAATAATGTTAGCCTTACTAACATGAACAGAATTTTTTCAGATCTTTTTGCAAAGCCTTGTTTTTAAAATAGTCACGTTAAAAAAATTTGGTTTCTTTAAGTTTCAGGGTAATGTAGTATAGTGGAAATAGCAGGAACATCAGAAGAGTACAGGGCCATAGCCAGAAGATGAACCTGGAGCTGGTTGTTTATTTATCTATCTTGAGTTGGAGTCTCACTGTGTTACCCAGGCTGAATTGCAGTGGCACAGTCACGACTCACTACAACCTCGATTTCCTTACACCTCCGCCTCCCAAACAGCTGGGACTACAGGTGTGTGCTACCAATGTCCAGCAAATTTTTTTACTTTTGGGGTGGTTGAGATGAGGTTCCATAATGTTGCCCAGGCAGGTCTGGAACTCCTGGGCTCAAGCAATTCTCCAGTCTCAGCCTTCCAAAGTGTTAGGATTACAGGTGTGAGCCACTACACCCAGCCTGGGAATTGGCTATTATCCTGCAAATTACTTAATGTCATTGAGTTTTCATATCTGCACCTGTAAAAGGCAAGGGGAGATTTTCCTTCTCTGGGTGTGAAGTTTTAATAACACCAATAATCCCCAGCTTTTAGAAATATATGTATCCTTGCATATTTAAATAATAAATACAATTAACAATGTTTACTGAGTACTTATTTTTGCAGAGTATAGGGATAGTACTTCATGGACTGAAAATGTCAGTGGGAAAACATAATCTGGTTGTGATGTGGGAAGCTTTATGTAGCAGTGATGGTGATATTGTGGAGTGAAGGAGTAGTGTCTCTCAATGAGTAAAATGCATCTCCTACATAGAGAAGTAATGTAGCATATTTAAGCACTTGGTTTTTGTTTTTCTTTTACAGCCAGATCATTGATTTCTATCTTGGCTTTGTTACTCATTCTGTAGGATCAGAAAATAAATTTGACTTTTGCATGCCTCAGAAGATAGTAATAGCACCTACATCAATGGGATTGGGTGAGGATTAAGTTAATTCAAGTAATGTGTTTAGAATAATGTCCAACACATAACAAATAGTAATCTTTCTTTTTACTTTGTATTATTGTTGACAAAAATTGTATAGGAAATTTAAAGCAGAGATGAATTGTATCCAGTCAAAAATATGTAGTAATGTTTTATGGAGGAGGTGGTCTTTGGGAAGGACCACAAGAGGTTATTCCAATCACCAAAGCACCACAAAAGGAAAGCCTCAAGAACTTTGGGGATGCTGAATAAATGAGCACAGAAAGCAGCAGTTTCCAACTCCATTCTCTGATTTCCTGGTTATTCTTGGATGTACCACTAGGTCTAGAGGAAGGCAAAGTAGCCTGGTCACTGACTTACCTTCCTCATGTCTTTTTTTCTTTAATGAGTTTCATCAAAAATTTTTATTTAAAAAAATCCCACTGTATTAAGTAAATAAATATTTAGAAGTCACTGTTCTTAAGCATGGGATATACAGGTGGACTGTAAAAGCAGGCTAGGGTGAACTATTTGTACTTAGTTTAGAGAATAAGCCATCAAAGGTCAGGGGAACCATGAAGACCCTTGAACAGAAGTTTGACTGATTCAGGGTGTCATGTGAGGAAGATGACTGACTCTAAAGAGCAAGGAAGATTCAGTAGAGCTAATTTGCTATTTTGTATCTCATTGTTCTAACTCATGCATTTAACAGAAATTTATTGAGTGCCACCTGCCAACTCTGATCCAAACAATGTTCTCAGCAGTGGGGATAGAACCTCTGCCCTCATAAATTTCCATTGCTGGTCAAAGCTAGACAGGAAACAAATCAACAAATGCTACTTTCTGAATCACATGGTAATGAAAATGCTACGAAGAAAAGGCTGCCAACTTATCTCAGGGCATTTGGTGACCTCGACTGGCCTTTTACTACTCTGAAGATTGACCTTTGGTCTTTGGTGAATGGAAGTGACACATGGCAGAATCATACATGAGTGATTGTACCAAAAAATGATCAAAGTCCAGAAATAAGAGTTGTGGTAATCCTAATAGCCAAACTACTGACAAATGTTGCCCATTGAGTAGAAAGTAACCATTCGAAATTGGTTTAAATAGGTTCCGTGATTCATTTAATCTAATCAGATGGTCTAGCTTGTTTAGGTGGCAAGACTGAACCTCACCATCTGCTGCTTGTTCTCATTGAGTTCAGAGATTAAAAATAACTGAGGCTGATAGTCCATACTGAACTCTGGGTTTGAAAGAATGTGGCCAACTAGTCCATCCTTTGTCATAAAAAAATATGCTTTACAGCTACTCAGCTTCTGAATGAACACTATCTTCAGGCTTGGTTTACCAGAAAGCAGTCCCTTTACAATTTACCAGGGGTTTGTGTTAGAAGGAGGAGTATCTTGGTCAAGCTAAGTAGTGAATTAGCCCTCCTTCTCCCATTCTTCAATTCTGGAGTCTGCCCACAGGTCATCTCTTTCCTTACTTTGTTACTTCTCCATCAGTTATTATCTGTCTGTTTTTTATTTAACTGATCATTGCATCACAACCCAGAGATGATTCAGATTATTTTAGAGGATATTGAATGTTCTAAACACAAAGAAATGATAAATGTTTGAGATGATGCATATGCTAATTACCTTGATCTGATCAGTATACATTATATGTTTCAAAACATCAAGTATCAAGTAGATCACTAAATATGATTTTTTAAATATAATTTTTTTTTTTTTAGTTGGAGTCTTACTCTTGTCACCCAGGCTGGAGTGCAGTGGCACACTCACAGCCACGGCAATCTCTACCCACTAGGCTTAGAAGATCCTTCTGCCTCATCCTTCAAAGTAGCTGGAACTACAGACACACGCCACTGTGCCCAGCTAGTTTTTGTGACTTATTGTAGAGATGAGGTCTCACCAGGTTGCTGGTCTCGAACCTCTGGGCTCAGGCAATCCTCTCGCCTCAGCCTCCCAAAGTTCTGGGATTACAGTCTGAGACACTGCACCCAGCTTCAATTAAAAATATTTTAAGGAGACTGATAGTTTACATTATTCAATTTTAGGGAGAAATGATGTGTGGAAAAAAATGAAATCTTATTTTCAAGGTTACTTAAGAGCACCTTCTTGTAATGACAGATGTTTTAGAGCTGAGACCTAGGTGAAAAATAGAAACCAAAAAAGCGGATAATTAGCTGGGACTGCTTTGGCCAGCGGCTTGACTGGGGAAACTATTACAGCAAGGGCAACTAAAGACATTCATGGATTTATGGCTTCATGTGGGAAGGAAAGTCAATTCCTGATAACCATGAAAGGTTAATCCCACTGGTATAAACTCCAGATGGCAAGAAATAATGCAGAATTGAGAAGAAATGAAAATTCATAATGTGTAGTTCATTCCATAGCAAGGAGTTTGGGAGGCAGAACTCAGATCCCTGAGAGGAAGGACAGGCAGAAAGGAGGTAGGCTACTGAGAACCCAGATAAGTATACTGAGGTTTGAGGTGAGCTCCTTGCAACATTCTTATGTCTGATGGAAGGTTGCGAAGAGGACAAGAGTGAAGAATACAGTTCCAGGTGAAAGCCCAATGTTAGAATGGGCCAATTTGGAATCTTCCCTCCTAGATTTGCTAGTATAGTCTTTTGGCTGTGTAGTTCCGAACTTCATCAACTGGTGTTATTGAGCTTTATGTCAGGACTGACTCAGCCCCTGGAATAGATTTAGATTTATATGTGGACAATTAGCTTCAGTTTGAAGTGCAAATGAAGATAAGGGGTGATGGAATAACTGAGTCCTGTAAACTTTAGCTATGTAGAGTTTAGCTTTGCTGGTCAATAATAGTGTTAGAACTGGCAGTTTCCACAGGTGCATGGTCACGCTGGACCAGACTTTCATAAGCAAAAGACAAGGATTGTGTCAAGACTAGCATTTTTCAACAACTGTGATGAGGAAGTGAAATATGTGAGGCATTAATTTCCTGTTGGAGATTGTTCCTAGCAACTTGATTAAGAAAAATCAAATTAAATTAAAAGGAAGACCTGTTTGAACAGAGTGGTAGACTCTACATACACCAAAGACAGTGGAGGGAATTCTTTTCACACATGGAAAACTTGGCACTTCGAGTGAAGGGTCAGTGTATTAAGACCCTTGCCACAGTTTATTTTGTTAGGTTGAAATTAACACATTCATATCTGGGTGGCTAGGAGGAGAAGGAGAAGGAAGTTGGGGGGAAAAAGAGAAGTAGTGAAAATGAGTATTTGATGCAGATCTACCACCTCAACTCGTTTACGCTTTCTTTCATCACTCCTGCAGGCAGGGAAAAATAAAAATAAAAAAAAAAGAACCATTGTTTGCAACATTTCATGTCTCATTAGCAGAATTGCTAATACCTTCCTGGGGACCATTACAACACTCTACTGTATCTCATTAATTGCTTAGCAGATGTTCAGCAGCCTCCCTTTAAAAATGTTTGAGCCAGAATAGGTTGTTGGTGAGAGAGGCAGTACATAATTTGGTTTGTCGCAGGAAAAGAACTTTCTCGTTTCAGGAATTTACTAGCCTTTTTTAGTTTTCAACTTCAGCTCCCTATTTGCTTTTATGAAAACACAAGGAAAGCATTTGCAGATACCTGCATGTCATTAGAGAATGGATTTTGTTTGTTTTCCCCCACATGTTCTGATTGGAAATTCATTAACGTTGGTATTAAACTGAGTTAAACTTTGAATGCTGTCCTTACTTTGTTTCTAACCATTCCTTGTGC